TAAATTTTATATTTTTGTAATTATTAAATAATAAATTATTTTTAAAAATTAAAAAATTAATATATATTGATAATTATGAATTTTAAAAATTTAAAAATATTACTATTAGATATATTATAATATAATAAATCTAAAAATTTTATTTTATTTTTATAATCATTAGATATCAAAATATTTTAAATTTTTTAAAACATTTTAAAAATAATTTTATATTTACAGTTTAAGGAATAATATATTTGTTTAAATTATTTTTTTGATATTAATTAATTAATATAATAAATATAATATAAAATCTTTTTTATTAATAACTTAGAAAAAATAAAGTTTATTTAGAATTTTATATATTAACTGATAGGTAGGTGATTGTTATTTTGATTATTATAATTAAATAATTTTTTTATCATTTAATTTGAATGATAATCTTGATCATTTTAATCAAATGATTTTTATTTTTAATCATAATAATAATTTTAATTGTTCTAATTAAATAATCTTTTTATTATAATTAAAATAAATAATTTAGATTTTGATTATTCTAATTTAACAATTTTTTTATCATTTAATTGTAATAATAATTTTAATTTTAATTATTTTAATTGTTTTAATTAAATGATCTAATTGAAATAATTATTTTAATTATTTTAATTATTTTAATTAAATGATTTTTTTATTAATTTATTAAATAATAATTTTAATTATTTTAATTGAATGATATTTTTTTAGTTTAATTAAAATAATAATTTTAATTATTTTAATGAATAATCTTTTTATTAATTATTTGAAATAATAATTTTGTTTATTTTCATTAAATAATTTTTTTATTGTTTAATTGAAATAAATTGTTTAAAATTTTTAGATTAGTTTGAAAATTTTAATTTAGCTTAATTTTTTCAATTTAAATTAAAATTATAATCTAAAAAATTTAAATTAATTTGAAAATTTTTTAGATTAGATTTTATGTAATTTGAAATTAAATTGAAATTAATCTGAACTAAAAATTTTCAGATTAATTTGAATGGTTTTGTAGCTTTAACTTTAACTATAATTATTAACTATCATAAATTAACAATATTTATTTTTATTTTAAAAACATTCAAATTATTTATTGAAGTTTATTTGTTTAATATTTGGATGGTAGTTAATAGAAAAAGGAAAATTTAAATTTTGATAAAATTTTTTTTATTAATTTACTTAACTGATTACAATTACTGTGTGCCTCTGAAATTAAGCACCTTTTTTTTGCTATAGAGATACTTAATTTCAGGTACTAATAAAATTAATAAATTTTCAATCTCAGAAGTTATGTAAAAATAATAAATACTTTATATTTCTAACATGTTTCTTTTAGGGGTCATATAAAAAAATCTGTAAAATAAGTTTTACAAAAGTGAATATAATTTAGTGGTAATTCTGGGTATGTTAACAGTAAACGATAATGATGATAATAGTAGTATTGATGGTAATGATAATCATTAATAATGATAAAAGAAATATTGATGGCAAAGAATTCTTCTAAATAAAATAAATAAAAAACATTAAAATTTATAAAATATTTAATAAATTGAGTTTGTTTTAGCATTTATTTTATTTTCAGATACTAAAAATGTGATAGTACTTATTTTCAGATACTAAAAAATAAGATAATACTTATTTTCAGAAAATGCTTATTTTCAGAAGAATATGATATGTACTCAAATTAGTTTAATAATAAAAATAATGAAATTTAAGATTTTTTTTATTTTTTTATTGAAACTTTCTATTTATTAAACTTTATAGTGAAATTCTTTATCTTAAGATTGATATTTTAACATGAATTAATAAATTACTAATTAAATTGTATCAAATTGATATAATTGATTTTAATATCATTAAAATTAATTAGTATCAAAATATATTAAAATTTGAAAATTTTTAATTTCTTTATAAATCATTGATATCAAATTTCTTTTTTTTAATATTTTCTCTTTTGATAAATAAAGTTATATAAATCATTATAAATCCAGGTTATATAGTATTTGAAAAAATTTTTTAATATTACATAAATCATAAGAATTTTACATCTAGTATAATGAAGAAGAATTTTCCTTAGACTTCAATAAGTATTATTTATTCTTTACATAAAATAATAATAATGTTCTAAAACAAATGAAATGAGTTTGCTTTAAACATATAAAAATTATGTTTTAAAGTCTATTATTAGAATTAAGTGATACATAAACTGCGAATTGATAATAATAATATTGTAAAACCTAATTTTTTCTATTTAAACTTACAGTTTTAGTAAAAGAACCTTCTCTATTACAAATTAATATTCTTTACATATTTGATCTTTGGCATTCTTTTCAACTTTTTCAAATGAATTTGAAAACCTTACTGTTTTGCATATGCTTTAACTGCTAAAATAAAAGTTTCTACTGAGTGATAAGTATTACCTTCATTAAATTCTATATTAGGATTTTTATTATTTAAAATATTTTAGAAAATCAGAAAATACTGAATTATTTTCATAAATTTCTTTATTATTTTTGGCCATTTCAAAGTATCGAAATTGCAATAATAGGTTGTATTAAAGTGTTATAGTATCACATGCGATAATAAGATAATTATAATCACTGATACAAATATAAATAAATCACGTGATCGCACATTTAAGATTGGAAATGTGGCGAAAATGTTGACTCGACAATGAAACGCGTAAATAACGAACAATCTGAAAGAAAAGACGATACGAAAGAAGCAAGAAAAAAAGCAAAAATTATTTCGCCCACTTTTATTCAACTTGATATACCTCAAGCAGAAGTTTTATATTATTCCTCAATATTCTCACCAGAAATATGCTTTAAATATTATCAAGAACTAAGCTCACTTCCATATTGGGCGCGACCTACTTTTAAAATATTTGGACGTCCCGCAAAAGCTGCTCGACAAACCTGTTCTTTTGGTTCTAATCCTAATAAAGTTTATAAATATTCTGGAACTACAGCTGGTGTTGATTCTATTGAATACCCTCCTTCAATTAAGGAAATCAAAGAAAAGATTGAAGAAATTTTAAATACCCAATTTAATTTTGTTTTATTAAATTGGTATAAAGATGGACAAGATTCTATTGGTGATCATTCTGATAATGAAAAAGGTTTAGTAAAATTTGGTGTTATCGCTTGCGTCAGTTTAGGTGCTAAAAGAACTTTTATGTTTAGAAATAAAAGAGATAAGAAAATTACGCATAAAATTTTTTTAGAAAATAGTTCTTTGGTTGTTATGAAGGGAACGACTCAACAATATTGGAAACATTCAATTCCCAAAGAACAATCAATTAGTGAAGGAAGGATCAGTTTAACATTTAGACAGCTTGAATAAAATAAATAAAACATTCTTTTATTTTGTTTTAATAATTCTTAATTTCCCTGGTGTGTATTTATAATTATCTGCGTACACTTTTTTACGAAATTCTGGTTCATGATGTTCTTGAACATAATAATCCCATCCTAAAAAATATACATATATATTTATATTTATATTTATTTATATAGATTGAAAGCAATATGTCAAATTTACCTTGCTTTTCAGCAAAATGAATCGCATCTTCCTTGGACTTGAATTTCAGTTGTAATGCTTGCATATAATCTGCACTGTAATAATATAAAATAAAATAAATAAAATAAATAGAAAAAAAATTTAAAAAATTTTTATTATTCTCACCTGCTAGCCCATCCAATCAGCGGATTCTCCCATCTATCACCTCCCTCCAAAATATCAAAATTTATTCTCCAATGTTTAGTATTATGTTCTCCTGATTGCATTGCCGTTCTGGTAGGTTTATAGATTTTTACTGTTCTATACTGAAGTTCCTCTAAAATCAATGAATAATTAAAAGATAATGAACTTAAAACCTGATAAATTTCTTTAATCGAAACAAAATTTATTTACCAGGCGCTCCTGAAATAACATCAGCACTTATAACGTTTGTTGTTTCGGGCGCTGTTTTAACGGCCTTGTCTTCAGATTCTTTTTTCGAAGTATTAGAAGAGACGGAATTCGAAACTTCGGAACTGATTCTTCTAAATACTGTTACATTGGGAGCTTTGGTGAGTCGTAAAAATGGGAATTTTTGTCTAAAAAGTAAAGACATCGGAAAAACAAATTAAACTATCAAACTCCAAGTTTTATGCCGTGTGACAATGATTTTTCTACCCTATTAAAAAATAACCATGTAATTTCCATAATCAATTATACCAGCCAATCGTATTCAAATGGATGACCCCCTGAAAATGGTAAGTGACGTCACGTTTTTTTTTTTTTAAAGGTATAAATTAGATCGAGACACGTAAAAAAAAAAAAATCTTTCCTAAAAAAAAAATGTCTGAGACTAGTATTCCTACAGAACTTTATTCTTTAGTTTTTCGGTTTTTAGTAGACGCAGGACTTGTAAAGACATCCGAAACTTTTAAAAAAGAATATAAGGTATTACAGTTTTTTGTTATTTATTTATTATGAAATTTGTAGCCAAGAATTTTTTTTTTTAAAAAATATTTTTTTAAGTCGATAAAAGATTTAAAACAAAAATATGATCTAGTTGAAATTTTCAAGTCTTATAAGTCTCTTGTAAATGGGTAAATTTAATTTCTATTCGCGTGTTTATCTATATACAAAATTTTTCTTTACTAAGATTTAATTTAATTTATATTTATCATTAGTAAAAATATTGAAGAAGAAGCTGATTCGGATTCTTCCTCTTCTTCGAGTTCTGGGAGTAGCATGTAAGGGTATTCATCTTAAAAAACATATATATATCTAATATAATTTAATAATTTAGTTACTTTTTTAAATAGTTTATCTTTTAAAGGTAATGATGACAACGATGAATCATCATCATCATCATCGTCATCATCATCATCATCGTCATCGTCATCATCATCATCTTCATCATCGTCATCTGAAGAAGAAGAAGAAGAGAAAGAGAAAGAAGAAAATAATCAAAGTTTTTTAAAAAAAACTAATAATAAGGATGAATCTCCAAGTGAAGACTCTACTGATGATGAATCTTCATCCTCAGATAAAGAGACTTTCGACGAGAAGGTAAAAAAAGATTATAATAAAATGGAAGATAATTCAAGTTCATCGAGTGAAGATAGCGATTCAAGTGAAGAGGAAGATGTTATGAATAATCAAGATAATACTGAAAAGGCGAAGGAGTCGAAGAGTTCAGATCCAGCTAGTTTAGATTCTTCTTCCGAAGAAAGTGAAAATGAACAAAATGTCACAACAAATCACAAGGTAAAGGAAGAATCAGACTCTTCCGATGAATCATCTGACGAAAGTGAGAGTTCATCAAGTGAAAGTGAAGAAGAAAAAGATGATAAAATGGAAATTGATTCAGATAATGATTCGGATGATGATTCAGAAAGTGAACCTGATAATGATTCCGATTCATCCAGTAGTGAAGAAAGCGAAATTCCTAATGCGGCTGATATTAAAGATAACATGAAAAACAACGGTCAAATAAGTAGCAGTAGTATTAAATCAGAAAATGGAGAAAATGGTGGTATTAAAGATAAATCATCAATTAAAAATAATTCGAAACGTAAAATAATGGATGAAACAAGTTCTGAATTAGTTAAGTTGGAGACAATTAATCACAATTGTTCACCGCATGAAATAAATGAAAAGAATATTAGTTCGAATGGGTTAAAACATAATCTTGACACATGTGATGAAGCTATATCACCTTCGAAGAAACTAAATTCGAGTGCATTAAGGTATTTAAATTAAGAAAGAAAGATGATGAGTCCCGAATCTCGTAAATAATACTAAATACTTTTTAAAAATAATAATAAATAGTACCATGCCTATACCATATTTCACAACTACTATTCACTTTAAACCTTTATCCGTTCAAAAAAATCAAAGGAAAATTAATAAAACAAATCAAGTAAGTCTTTTTTTCCCCGATCATTCTAGCTTTTATCAATAGCTTATGTAGAATACCGTTAAACAGTTAGGAAACAAAAGCAATAACAACGGTTCGACAAATAATCGTAGAATAAATCCAGACGAAGTAGAATTTCTTGACGAACGGTTAAAAGACAATAGTTTTTTGGCTAAGGTATTATTCTTTATTTATTTTCTTTTCTGTTTTTTTATACCTGATGATAATTTTATATATTAATATTATCTAGGGTGGCGCAGTTGGGTCTTATGGTTATAAGGCCCATAATGATTTAATCGTTACTCGAGGTAAAGACTTTCGTGCACAAAAAACTAAAAAGAAAAGAGGTTCATATCGTGGAGGTAAAATTGATTTAGAATCTCACTCTATCAAATTTGATGAGGAGGATTAAAAATTTGTATGAATGCTATCTATATTAATGAATAATAAATATTATTCCTTTTTTTAATCATGAAATTTCAAATTTATTCAAACTCTGAAAATTCTGAAAATATACTAAACTTATAAACATTCATATATAATAAAAACAGTTAATGATGTACATAAAGAATAAATTTTATATAACTAATGTTTCTAAGAAGAGGGGGGAAAAAAATAGAGGGCTAAAAATACATTTTTTGATATCTAAATGATGAAATGTATATTTAGAATGTTACTAATATACTAACTAACATTGAAATTATTGAGGATAATATACTGGCGGATAATAATAATAAACGCCATTATTCTCTTGTACAGAAGTAGTAGTTGGAGGTTGTGTTGTTACAAACGAAGATGATTTAACAGAATTATCATTGCTATTTTTCGATTCAGCAGTAGTAGTAGTTGGAGTTGGATAATAATAATAATACATATTAGGATCGTAAGAGTCGTAATAATAAATCATTCCATTATTTTCGGTACCATATGGAGCAGGCGTTGGATGTGGCAAATTATTTTCAGTTGAAAGATTATTTCTTAATCCTTGATTATCCGTATAATATGAGATTGGTGGTTTTTGTGAAAGGAAATTATTTGATGTGTCCTCGTTGGAAATGGGATTGTCATTAGAAAGAGCAAGTGCTCTCGGTTGGAACGGCGGTGCAAAGACAGCTAATTTTTTTTTTTACAAACAATATACATATACATACGCATATACACATATATTCCATTATTAATATATACATAATGTTCATATATTTGTTAAATTTATTCTAGCTAAATTAATAAATCTAAAGGGAAAAAAATTGGTATTACTTTCATTTAACGCAATAATTCATTAAAAACACAAACCTGATGGTGGGATTTCACTCGTTCGAGAATTATTTGATACTCCTTTTACCGATGATTCATTTGCTTGTGTTTGCTGCTGAGTTGTCGAGGAAGAAGCAGCTCTTTTGGTTGAATACCTTTTAGATGCTTGATTGGTCTGAACTCGATCTTTGTCCGTCGATAGAGATCCAGTTGTATCATTTTGTTTATTATTACTAATGGATAAATCATTTAAGCTTGAAGTAATATTGTTTATTGATTGTGAAGTAGAATGGGTTCCATTATTTTCGATTGCTTTTTTACTCTGAGGATCTAAAATAATCTCCACTTCAGATCCTTCATTTGATCCTTCATAGACTTTATCTTGTTCCTTTGTTGAGGATTTTGTCTCTATTCCTTCCTTTGTGGATGAGCTTGATGCAGTAGCATTCACATCGGCTAAATCTTTTGCCGATCTCACTTCTTCAACTTGATTTTCCACAACCTTATCTTTATTCTTTTCAAGTAAATTTTCATAATTTCCATTATGCACGACATCCGAGTCTTTAGTGTTTATCACATCGTCATTCAGTTGTTGTTCTTCAGATTTGTCCTTATCTACATTTTTTTTTCCATTTACCACTTCATTGTCAGCATGGCTAGAAGTAAACGAGCTATTCCGATTTAAATTTGAACGCATATAATGTCTGCTACTATAACCTCTTCCGCGAAATCCGTTTCTACCTCTTGGTTGAAACATACTATCTTTTTCGGTGGAAGTTTTGTTATCATTAAGCTGGGATGAAGATATGTTTTCACCGTTGTTGTTATATGAATTTTCTGATCTACTTTCACCTACATTCGGTTTATGATATTGGTTAAAATCATCAACACTCCCTTCCTTATTCTTTGCATCATATCTTGAAAAGAACTTCCCTCTTGATCTAGATTTTTCTTCAGATGAACCCCTTCTTCTTCCATTCGAAAAGTTCGAAGGACGTGAATAATTTGACTTTGGAGATGCAATGTTATGTGATCGACGTCGCGGAGGCTTTCAAGAAATTGAAATAATGATGAATACCGATAATAGCAACCATTACAAAAAAGGATTTGTTAATATAAATAGTTGTCAAAATACCGGAGGAAAAAATTCGCGACGATGTTGTATACTACGTTGAAA